ATTTGCACCAAAATTTACATGCACATGCTCCAAGTTAGCGGGAAGGCCAAGATCGACTTTGCATTTCCCAACTCCCACCGATAGTGGAAATAATTGATTTTTTCATGCTTCTACGGCAGTTATCATGTAGTTTGCGGCCATTTTCTACTGGCCAGAGTGAGAGCCTATAGCTGGCTGCCACGAATAGGCAGGAAGATTCTACTGGCCAGCGTGAGAGCCAACAGCTGACTGACATGAATGTTAACTAGCATGCAAAAAAAATTGATAGTTGCATTCGTCACAAGTGGGAAAAATTTAAATCTGCATGGCACTTTACTCCAATTGGCTCATTCACTTGCTTAAACTCAACGTTGATTCTGATTCCACAGAACTGGGTTGGGTGTGAAAAAGTATTTGTTGTTAACATTCTTTTTTCATTTGGTTTTTCCAGTTACAAGTCCTTTTTTAAAGCTGATCGTTTTGTGTTCATTTTGTTTAGTTCTTTTTTCGTAACAGATTTAATATTTAGTATAGAGCTTAGAAAAAATTTGCAGTATGAGATAGGCAAGAAGTAAGGCATGTAGCAACATCAGCACAGCAAAGGGCACTGCTTTAAAGGCAAGGAAGGGCAAAAATATTTTAAGTCAAGTGATAGCAATTGCTGTATGAGTCATATGATTTTTGAATCAAGCACGGGCAACTCTGGGCCATGCTGCTAGTATAATTTAAAACTCTAAAGAGTATAGCAAAGATCCTTCGTGATAAAGTCTTGAATTTACATGCAAGTAAGCTGAAATTATCTTATCACTGAATAAACTTGATGGAGGTTGGGAAAGGTATTATCTGTAAAAGTTGGTAGTAAATTTGGAGGATAAAATGTGTGAGCAGAACTGTAAATATCACCAGAGTTAGCTGCTTTTGCACATCTTGAGCCGTTTATCAATATGTTAGATTTTGGAGTCTCCTGTAGAATATAAGCAGGCTACATGATGAAGATCAAAAATAAGATTGCATCTCTTAAGTATGAGTATCTAATATTCTCCTTCATGAATTGCAATTGGGAATATTTCTTAAAAGGTATAGCATAGTCAAGGTTGAATATTGACTTATAGAAGGATTCCACATTTGCATACTGGAAATGTTGAGGGTTTTTTTTTAATATCTCTATTAAGTTATCAGTTTAGGGTGGAAACTTTCTGTATCCAGTTGAATATAAGTTCACAAACATTTGGAGACACACACACACACACACACACAAAGTTTTTTTTTACTTTTTTTTTACCCATTTCATTTTGGAGTACTTTCAGTTATTTTTGTTTTAATTATGAGTGTGCAATTGTTGCATTCATTTTCACACTAAGGCTTTTGAGAAAGGCACAAATCCATTTCTTTTTTCTCCTGCTATAGGTTAAATAACACGGTAGAGCACTCATGGGAAAACTGGCCCATGAGCTACATGTGGCCCATTTTATCTTTTTGAATGGCACACTTAATTTCATAAGAAGAATAACATTTAAAATTTTATCTTGTTTCATACTCACTTGTTCACTCATACATAACCACATACATAGACAATGATTAAGTACAATGTTTCTTGAATTTTGGGGAAGAGTAATGTTGCATTTTAAACCATTGGCAATTTTCACTAAGGAAGATCATACATATAAACATCTTTTGCTGTTGAAACAGGAAATGTCCATAAGAATGTTTTTTGCTAAAGAAGAAATGTTTTCATTTTCAAATGAATAAATTAGAAATAATTCACATGCAGTAACATATGATAATCACACTTTCATCCATGATAATATTATACCAAGACTTCAATTTTTTAATTATAAAAAAATATTTTCTAAAAAGTAAAACTTTCCTACTATTTCTTATATGTTTATGCATATGATCTTCTGTAGTGAAAGTAGCTGAGATGCCTACTATGAAAAATAATCTTGAATTTTTTTAGTAGTGTGACTTATCTTGTGATGAGCTATAGATCATGTGGCCCACTGCTTGAGAAAGGTTGCCCATTCCTAGAGTAGAGAGTGTTCTGTAGCCTTGACTGGCAACCAATCTAAGAGAAGGATACATCTGAATTCTAATCCATGGAGAAATCAATGAAAAAAAACACTCCACTATATTTCCCAAGCTTGTATGAAAATTCACAGCTTATGAAGAAAAGGAATCTATGAAGAGTCATTATCATCGATATCCTGAAGAGAGATGCATTTTTTTTTAAATACAGGGAAATATCTTTTGTTTTGCTTTTATATTATTTTTTTAAGTAAATTTTTTTGTTACTTTCCTTTATTTTACTTAAAAACATATTTGACTCTTTCAATTAAGACAGCATAACCAAAAGCTTGCTCATTTCAATGGTTTTAATATGCTTCCCATATATATATATATATATATATATGTATGTCAGAGACTAAGTTCAAATCGCTACTCAGAGTTTATCAAAAATGTGATCATCAGGTGACCAAAATGATTGCATTTGCAAAAAACTCTAAGTACCAATTTCTTAGTCTCTTTTTTGTGTAGTTATTGTGATCGCTCTGTCTTAGACATTTTCATTTAACCTTGAGCACTGTGTATTATTGAATAGATAGGTGTCAGTTTTTTCATTTCTGTTCATGTTTCCTTTTCCTTTTTTTGTTGTTGTTTTTTTGTTGGTTTTTCTGTTGGTTTCCATTTTATTGTTTTCTCTCCTTAATAATGTCTTTTATTTCTCATATTCTCTCACACTCTGTAACTCTTTGCATCTTAGTTGCTTTATTGCCAGATTTGAAATGATTAAAAAAAATCTCTGCAGTTTTTTCTTGATTTTGATAATGGCCATGAGTATAGGTAAAACTCTAGATTATAAACATTAGGCAATATTGACTGGATTCTTTTGTATGTAAACAAGAAAAATTAAATAATAAAGAAAAAGCTTCCTTTGGCTATTATTTTTAATACAACTTGCATTAATGAAAGACTACCGCCTAAAACAGTTTGCATTTAAGATGCAAAATTAAAAATGTTTGTGTTTTTTTATTTATACGTGATATGGAAAACATTAATTATTTATTTCTTTTGCTTATATGCCATGTCTCTTCAGGACGTGGGTGATCATAGGTCTCCACAATTTCCTGTCCTTTGTACCTCTTAGTAAGGTTTGTCTTTTTGTTATCTCTCTCTCTCTTAGACCCTGTTTTGCAAACCATATACAAAGACTAATTACATAGCTTATTTACTGCTTTTCTCTATTCCTCATACCTTCATTATGTCCTGTGAATGTCAAATTCTCCAAGCTGTCTTTCCTCATTATGTGCCCTAGAAATTTTTCTTTCTGATTTAAAGTATAAGTGTCCTTTTGGTTTTTATTTTCTTGAAAACTTCAACGTTGCTCACGTGTTCAGTCCACGATATTCTCTATATCTTCCTGTAGAATTGGATTTCTTTTGCCTCAAGTCTCTTCTTCATCTATGACATGTCATATTTTATAACCTCCTATAGCATATTACCTAGATATTTAGAGTTTTGTACTTGCTTAATTTTGGTATTTCCAATTTGTAATTTGTATGTTTGGTTGTTTCTTTTGCTGATAACTGTACACTCTTTCTTCTTATAATTGATGTTTCGTCCTTTTGTCTCGCTTTCCTGTATTACTTTCTGTAGGAGTTCCTGTAGTTTCCTTTCTGTGTCTGCTATCAACACTGTGACATATCATATGTTGTTAAGATTGTGACCACCAATAATGAATTCTGGGAGGACTTTGAATTCTCTCAGGATTGTCTCACTGTAAAAGTTGAATAAATCCATTGAGAAGTCCAGTGTTTTACACTCCTTTTTATTTTTGTGTATTTTCTGAATTCATTTTCTATTTGTGTACAGGCAATTTACTTCCAGTATAATTTCTGAATTATTCTAAGATCTTTCCCAAAGGAGTTGAGCTTACACAACAGTTCAAACAGGTCTTTGTGTTGTACTTTATCAAATGCTTTTACATAAAATATAGGTATATATCTTTCTGCATTTGTATTGTTTTTCTGATATCATTCTGAACAGAAATATTCCATTCCTTGTTTCAGTGCCTTTAATAAAAACCATGCTGTTGTTGTCCAATTGCCATAGTTCTGCTATGCACTCTATTCACCAAAATTCTCATACGTTTTGATTATGTGGCTCATTAGGCTGATTGTCTGATAGAGTTAACATTTGTTTTTCAACTGGCTTCTTAGGCAGTGCTATGAAAATAGGACTACTTAAATCTTCCAGTATATCACCACTGTTGTATACATCATTTGTGATTTCTGTAATTTTGCCAATGTTAATACTATCTAAGGCTACCAGCATCTCTATTAAAATTCCATCTGGTCCAGCTGCTTTGTTTCTGTTCAATTTGGACAGTGCTGATTTCACTTCCGATGTTAATATTTATGGTCCTTCCATATTTTTACATATTGCAGGGCTTCCTCTTTTGATGTATTCATTCCATCTTTGAAGTATTTTTTCTTTATCTGTTATCAATGTAGTGTTCCTTCCTTTCATTTTATGCATCTTGTCAATGAGCATGTCTTTTATCCTGTTATTTCTCCATTAGAAAAATTCAAAATAAATGTTTAATCATAAAATAGTATCTATTGCATTGCATGTTTTTAGCTTTCATTATTATTGATAATATTTCTGAAGTAAATTAAGTATTTTAAATATTTAATTCTAAGATATCAGCTATTTAACAAAATTGAATACTTTTGCAAATTAATACTGAAATGTATATTAACCATTATTTACATCAAATATGCACATATAGTTTTCTATTGAACCAAACAATGGAAACATAATTGTTAATGTCAGAAATTTTTAAAAAGTGTTATATTTCTTCCTAAATAGTTAGAATTTCAAGTTTCTGAATGAAAAAAAAAAGGTTTTTTTGTACTGAAAAAGTGTCATTGGAGGTTAGAGGTTAAATTTTGTGTTTGTGTATTTACAGTGTTAAATTTTTAATATTATTATTAAATGTTTAATATTGCTTTTTCTTGTAGGCTCTCAGTTTTCCTTTGTACTGGAAAAGCATGTTGTTCAGAGCTGCTGGAGGAGAAAAATTGGGATATATTACCTTCCAGATGTTTTCCTCAATGTGGAGAAAGTAAGTAGTACATGTGGTTTGCTTTCATACACTTGTATGCATATTACAGTCATTACACAGGCACACATTTTTGATTTTATAATTACCATATGCGATATAAAACCCACTTTTTTCCCCTGAATTGAATTTCATAAATTTGTAATAAACGAATTTAAAAGAAATTTGTTTTTAAGTAAGCCAAATAGGGAACCTAGATGAAGTTCTCTTTACATCTGATGTACCCTCAAACAATTCTTTGTTAATAATAATAATAATAATAATAGGAATGTGATGTGGATTTTATATCATGGTTAAAGATTTGCACTTTCTTGCAGTTTCTATACATGTTTCTAATGTATTAGGTATGTACAAAATTTCCCAACACCTTTATTTTAATTTATTTTTTTTTAACTATCACTGTATGCATAGAAAAACTTGATTTCTCTCATAATAATTAAAAATTCTGAAAGCGTTTACACCGAGTCTATGTAAGAATTCAAAACCTTGGCTATTTAAATATGCTGCGAGATGCAGTCCCAAATATTCAGGAATTCATACAGCTCATGCAGACCAAATGATGCATGGATTTTTCAGGTAGCATTTTGTACACCTTTGTGCAAATAGCCCAGAAGAATTGCTTTGTTGGAAACAGTAGAAACTAGGTATTTCTGCAAGTAATAATTTTTAATTTTTTTTATGTGCAATTCCTTCAACTTTTGTATAGCCACACACACAGTATCTGCATTAAAGAAAATATAATAAAAATATGATTTATTGAAAAGCTAAAATATTTAGAATCTATTATATATATGAAAACAATATTAACGATATTCAGTCACCCCCCCACGAGGGTGTCATGTGGCACAAGGCCTTTTTAACGTGGGCATTCCCGAGCCATTAGGCTCGGCCAAAAAATAGCCCATTTGAACCCGTATAAATGGGTTCAGGGCCGGTTTTACCTCCCCGAAGGAGACTCCACCCTTCGGCGTAGCCTCCTTCGGGTTCCTCCCGCCTGTAGGAAGAGAGTTCAAACCGAGCAGTCGGTTCAAAAGTGAACTACTGACTGACTCAATTTTAGGGAAAACTATGACAAAGTGGAATAATATTTTTCCATTTTGTTTTTATATAATATATATATATATATACACACTAGCAGTAGAGCCCGGCGTTGCCCGGGGATGTAACAGTAAGAGATAGATCAAGTATCGACCATCATAAAGACTGAAAAATAAAATTGACAAAGATTATTGTTTAAGGTTGACAGATACGCATGTCTTAATTAGTTTTTTTTTTTTTTCCGATCCCATATATAAAAGAACACACACACACACAACCTGGGTTTTATAATAAGTATAACTCCATATGAGTTGTCCCCCTTCATTCATTTCAGCGATGCCTCTTAATTGTTTTCAAATTGATTTCATGCAGAAACAATTGTGTTTTTCCAGAACCACCACAAGGTAATTTTACGTAGTTCTGTGAAGTTTTGTTGAAATCGGTTGAAAAATGTAGGAAATCCGATCCAATATATAAACAAACAGACACACAGACACACAACCTGGGTTTTATAATAAGTATGATATGTGTGTGTATGGGTTTGTGTGTGTATATTAAAAAAAAAAAAAAAAACTGTTAGTGGAACCAATGGAAAACTTACCAAAAAACCTAAATACCCTTAAAGAAGATAAAATCTTGAAGAAGGACAGCAATAATAAAAGAAAAGACCTGAAGGCAAACAACTACCTACTCAGTAAAGTAAAATGCTTTACACCCAGATTACCTAGACGGAGCAAAACACACTTGACAACGTTAATTCCTATGAATGGATAGCCCTAGTTATAACTCAAGTTTCACACTCACACATGAATAATTAACTCCCCATCTTTTGTCTGGTCTTTCCCTTCCCCATAAGCTACTCAACAGACAACAGTAAAACTAACCTTTTGCTCCTTTTGTTATCCTTCCTTCTTTGCTATGTGTCCATTTCACATTAATTTTTTTTGCTTAATCAGTTGACTAATTTCTATTTTCTTTGCTTCCTGTTCCATGCTGACCACTTGCTATCTGTTAAAATTATTCGTAACATAGATCTTTCAATCAATATGTGTGTGTTTCTAAGTTTGTTTTTAAGTGATTTAGCTAATTTCCATGTTTCATGCCTATATGAATTAGCTGACATTGTACACTAATTATACACTTGATGTTCTGAGCATATTGATTTTCATAATAACTGATTAAAAGAACACAGTCTTGTCTTCTGAGGAAGCCTCTTACTGAAACTGCTGTGATTTCTAAGAAACTTGAAAAGAAAACAGTCTTTAAGTAAAACATAAATGTGTTAGAAGTTGCATTTCAAACGCTGTAAAATATCACTTGAAAATAGAGCACATTGGGGTTGACCTACAACAAACCAAAATCATGAAAATCTTGGAATAGTTTACCACACAATCATTGAAGTTTGTCATTTAATCATTGATGAAATAGACCATTGCCAGATCATTCAATGAGATATTTAGACCATTTATAGGTTGCTGACAAGATATTTGGTTTATCTTAGATTTTATGCCTGTGGATGTTAAGAAAATATTTGAAAATTAAATATTTCTGCAAAATTCATACCTCATTTACTCAAAGTGGATCAAAATAAACAGCAACAATCATTTGAATGTGTCCCTGTTTGAGGAGACAAGTTCAAAATAACCCACAGTTTCTTTCCAAACTGAGAACATTAAAAAAATCTGGTTACTTTTGGCATCCACCCTATGATATATTTTTCAAATTGATTGATTATCAAGTACATATAGTAAATAAATGAGCACCTTTTTGTTTCAAGACTAGAAAATGTTAAGGACAGTATATGACCATTATAGCACAGTCAGTGTATCATAAGATTATTCATTTATTCATTCATCCTATTAGGAAAAATAAAAAAAATATTGTTGTTTAAGTCAGCTAAAAAAAATGCTGTTTATTGAAAACCTTAGAGCAACTGGTCTAAATGTGGAACCTTGAAGTAATTAAAGAATTTCAGATTTTTTTTGTTTGTTATTTACTATTTTATATTAAATTTATTTGATCAGGAATGTACTGTAAATTTGTTTATGCTTGGTTTTATTGTCAGTCAGGAGGTCTGGGTAGCCAAAGAGGTCACAACATGGAAAATGGAATTAGCAGGCAGAGTTCAAATTACAATTGAGACAGTTTGTATTTATTTCATACTGATGCTCTTGGGAAAGTCATAAAGTTTCCTCTTCCCATGCCACATCTATAGTTTAAATAGCAGTTTAAATTGAAATTGGGTGGTAACCAATCCAGGATAACTATAAATTAAAATCTCCACTGTCTTGTGATACTCACTCATGGGAAATGTCTTTGGGAGTAAAGTCTGAGTTCAAAATCAGATCTGGAGTCCCTAAAACAGACTGATACTCTTTGTAACCTCATTTGGGCAAATCTTCCTAGTTCTAAACTCTTATCATTCCCTTGCAAGACATCAGTGATATCAAGAAAGGAGATTTGCTACATGGGCAACTTATATAGGTCTGCATCTTATTTTTTTTTTTTTTTATGTCCACCCAATACAAGGCTCAAGAACCACTCAAGGTAGATGTTTACGAAATGCATACAGGGAGGGAGCAAGAGATACATAATATAAGGATACAGATGACAGCTGACTAGAACTTGAAGAGGTTAAATTTTTAGTTATTGGGGAAATATCCTCTTGGGAGCCTGTTCCACAATGAAACAGTTCTGAAGAAGCTGTCTGAGTAAAACTTCCTCTTTACTAATAGAATATAAAGGGTATGTGTATGAATTAACTCTGTGTACCTGGCATGGCAGGTTCTAGCTGTGAAGGTCTGGACTAGTAGAACCAAGGAATGTAGTTCACCTAAACATCAGCAGTGAAAATAGTGATAGATTAGCAAGTGTATAGAAGGGTTTCGCCTATTGGAAAGGGAAAGCAAAACTTTCCACTCACAGAATTATTGTTACAGCTGACAGACATATTACTCGCTTGGTCATGAATATAATAGCATTATAGGAAAAGCAAAGAATTCTGTACATCTTTCTTCCTGTGCAATTGTAAATCTCCAATTGAGGATTAATGCTGCACCTGAAGTGACAGTTTTATGTTCACTTTATATTAGATTGCAGTGTTAGAACACCCAGTGAGAATTAAACTCACTACAGTAGTAATAATCTGGACGACTAATTTGCTGTCACTTGATAAAAAGACACCCCACATATGAGCTGCTCAGTAAGGACCACTACAATAGTAATGGTTTGCAAGAATACTTTGCTTACCAATATACAATGCTAAGGTACAACTAATTTTAATATTTTCAGTATTAATATTATCATTATAACATTTTCCTTGATTTTAGTATTTCTAAATTGTAGTTTGCACCTTGGGTTGTTCCTTTTGCTGACAACAATACATTCTTTCGTCTTACAATTTATGTTTAATCCATTCTTCTTGCTTACCTTTACTACCTTCTGTCGGAGTTCCTGTAGTTTACTTTCTGTGTCTACTATCAACACTTACCTGCCTATCTAATGTTAAGATTGTGGCTATCAGTAATGAATCCTGGGAGGACTTATTCTCTCAGGATCAACTCACTGTAAAAGTTGAATAAGTCCATTGAGAATACACATCCAAGGCTACAAGTGTGCAGTACTCACTGAATACTATTACATTAGTAATAGTTTGCAAGAATATATTTCTCACCATTCAATGCTAATCATAATGGCAAGATTAGCCATTTCCTTCAGGAAACATTCAGCATTCAACCAGCTAGCGTTAGTGTTGAAATTTATAAAATCTTTCTTTTAAAACAGATTTTCAAGAAAATACACATCTTAGGTTCACTAACTGTTATCACTCTTTCTAATAGATGGAAGTTTCCTTCCTAACTTTTTATTTCAGGTAGTGTGGAAAGTCAACATCTTGATTATATTGTAACAGGAGATAGCTATGTTAGAAAGATTTATTCTCTCATTTGTATTTCCCCCATTATGGG